TTGGTCTGTTCACATACTCAGCCCTCCAGTTTCTCTGCCAAAGAAAGGTTAACCCTTTTCAGTGTTTCTAGTTACGCCCCCTGTTTTTGCGTAGGAGTACTTGGGTAACAGGCGACATGAAAAAAGGATTCTTTGACATGGCTCCATGTCCCATCCAACACAGAATCACAAACCACAGCCAACGCGCCTTTTCCAATGAACCCGGCCGCGGTTGATGCGCAAAGCGCTGAGACAGGGAAACTGTCATCACCGATCAGTCGCGGTTGGGTGCGTAGTCCTTTAGGAGATGCTTATATGGCGCAAACTTATGAATCTCTACCAGGACTAACCCAAAAAGAGTCTCGAAAATAATTTAAGCTTTCCTATCTCAACAAACGAAAGTCTGCGAAGTTAGGGCCCCGTAGGCATCCTGCGCCTTCCGGTCTACCTACCTACATCGACTGACTTGGTGCAGGAAAGTCTGGCCCCGCAAGTTCATCTTCATCCTGCAGGAGTCCTCTCGCAAGAATGGTGCGCGAGTCTTTGACCGGAAAAGAACTAAATCTATCCTGCGACATGTGGTGCCCGATAATAAACCAATATAAAAAAAACGGATGTAGGACTTGACCTCTTACAAAAACAATAACTTCCCACCCTTTCGGCCGCCCAACCGTGCCGGCCAACGTCTCCATCTATAGAAAATATCTGCACGACAAGGGGTGTTATGTAATACCTGAGACATCGGCATGATCATCGACTCGGCGCAAGGTCATCAACTCGGTTCCTCCTCGGACTCTTTTCCTGCACCTGCCACACTCCTGCAACCAAGGAAGCCGTGGGAAGCAAAATTTGTTTCTTTCCCCAGGGCCTTCTTGGGGCAAAGGGCAGAGAAAAGTTTGTCGAGGCGAAATTCATCAGGTATATGGGAACACAAGGTGGTTGAAAAATCCCGCGTGGTACTATTTTCTCACCACACTTGCCAGGAAGTCAAACTAGCGCCTACCCACAATATACAATAAAAGGGAACACCCATTTGTGCAAAGGTACCTGGGCGAAACCGTATACCGAACGGTGCCCCAAAGCCTTTGTCGCAGGTAGTATAAGTTGGTCCCTCTTTGGGGTGGAACCTGCTAAGCGTTCGGGCCACCCACCCGCTGTAAATACAAAATTGACAGGTACCCAATTTATGACGGAAGCCCGTGATGATTTCCAAGGCACCGGCCGAGGCAATCTCTTAAAACACACTGCCTCCGGCCTTTCGCCCGCAACACCCGAAGCTGTGATGATGGCTTCGAAACGCGCCTCCGAGACTTGGGAGAGGAAGAAGTCGTCTGTGCTTTGTTCAATTGATGTCCTCTCTCCGCTCGGACGTCGTCAAGAACGAAGCAAGTATGCAAGATACATTTTAGAGAAGAAAATTTTGATGTGTGTACATGTATATGTGTGCTTGTAGATCTCTCCATATCTCCAGATTAATTTTGACTGTGGTGCTTTTATTGCGTGTGAGTATACATGCTCCTGTTCGATCCAGACGTGCCCCGATAAAAAAAAAGCACACCCTTGGCACCAAGACCTTATACTTACTCCACGAAGTCGGACTACTAATCCAAAAAAACAGAATCCATTTCCAGCAATCAAATTGCTCGCCCTGGGCTAGAACACAACTTTGGAAGTAATGGTTGTAAAGAGGAGATATTGGCCACGCAAATGCGCTTGCATTGCGCTCAAGAAATGAATTAAGCCCCAACCCCTTCCCGCAAATATAAAAGGCGATCCCAACAGTAGCCCATTGCTCTTAGCGACTCTTCCTGGCATGCCCGCCTTACAAGCGCTGTGTCACTCACTCATTCTCGACCTCAGCTTGGGACCGAGTGGGGGCAAGCTCGAACAACCACTCGAAAGATCCGAAGTCGACTGACCACGAAGGATTCTCTCAAAAACGAGTTGCCACGAAAAACAGTCTGTCAGTGTCTCTTTTCGAGCAACATCGGCGAATGATCCTTCCGAGCATACAGTGGCGTTCTCATCTCGGCGATGTGGATGGAACCCATGCTGCCAATCATCACTTCCTATGCCGAAGGCTTCAAAAATCGAAGACATATTATCAAGCGCTGGAAACTCAACATATTCTCTGTGAGTTATTTTCAGAAGCCGAGCAGCTGAGAAAAAAAAAGCGCCCTTGCAGTAGAGACCGGGGACATGCCAGTGTCGAACAAGAGCTGGGCCAGGCTGCGAGGTGGTGTGTTCTTCACCAGGCCCAGGGCATCCCTCAATGTCACCAAGTGACAATTCACATTCTCAAACCAACCCTTTATCTCCAAATGCTCCCGCCAACCCAAAAGGTGCATTTTCCCAGCAACCGAGCAAACCACAAAACTCGAGCGAGTACAAGGGGGCGGTGCCGAAGTGACGCGCTTGCTTGAAGCGGCATCGAAGTACAACGCCGTGCCACTCCTGGCGATGGTGTTGTTCTTGGAAGCATCAGAAGCTTTCTTGATTCTTTTGTCTCTGTGGCCCAACTCAGCCGAGTAAGGTGAAGATACTGAAGATAGAACATTCTTTTCGTTGAAAAACGATCCCTGTCTTAATGGACCCACAAAGCACATCAGTCAGTTGAAAGCCGTTGCCCTAGTTACTGACAGGTGACTCAGCGCGCTGGTCGCCAGTTGAGTGAAAGTGTCTATATTGCATGTGTGTGTGACTACATATGATCAATGAACATGCTCGATTTCCTCGGCTTCAACTCACCCTTCCTTCTGGCGCAAAGGAACTTAACTCTACTGTCTATTTGCAATTTGTGCGCCGCTCTGCCCCCCCCTCCCTTTTGTCGTCGAGCGGCGGCAAAGGCGATGCAGTGGCATTGGCGAAGCTCATCCGCCGAGGAGAGACCCAGGTGGCTATTTCAAGCAAAATGCAAATGGAACGTTTAATGAATGTCCAACCAACTTGTAATGCTGACCCTTTGTCTTTCTGGCAAGGTTTGTTTTTTCTGAATCTGAAGTATTGACAAACAGCTGCTTGAAAGAAAGCACGACCACAAAACAGTGCCCCGTTTTTTGGACTTACTAAATGGAATACCTAGCAAAGTAAGAAAACAAATAAAGGTTAAAGGTTAAACAGCCAATGAGTGAGCATAATATAGTTTCATTTGCAATATTGCATTTCAATATTACAATGTATCTATATAATATATGATATCTGTTCAATAACTGTTTACATGTTTCCTCAATAATAACATACATTAACATGTGTGTTGTGTGTAATAAACAACATAGTTTTCTCCATATTGAAGGTGTTTTTGTTTGATTACTTTCAATCATTAACATATGTTGTATATTTGTTCATAATTCAATAGATGTCTCAAATTAGTTGTATCTGTGTAAGTATCTAATAACATCTAATAACCAAATAGCAATATTCATTTTATGCTATGTGATAAATTTATGATCATCTTTAATCATATACATCTTGGAAATATTTGTTCTATAATGGTGTGTGTATTTATTTACGTATGAAATCGTACTAATTAATATATATATATATCGACAACTTAACTATGTGTCTATGATTCTTCATGAAGCTTGTGAATCGTAGTCGACCAATCCTCTATAGAATGCACCCACAGAAACGGTACCCTCCGGGTCTTCGCGGGACGGCACTCCGACCGCACTCCGACCGCCGCAAGACCCACGAGACCCGGTGCTTCGACCCAGACCTCCGAATGGGTGGAGCGAAAACACCAACTGAGTGAGCTGTCAGGTGGTCCCGTGATGGACCTGATGGGTCGAGGTTTGGGTCAATGAAGAAAAACGCACAACGCACCTGAACGCCATTGGCGCTGATGATGATATCACCCCCTTGGACCTGGCGCCGTTTCCGGGAAACACCCCCGGCTTCGGACCGGAGATTCGGAAGGTCAACCTGTCGCCCCCCCCCTTCGTTCTTCGGTCGGTTCCTCTTTTGTTTCGGCCCAAAAACGGGAGGGAAGTCCGTAGCAAGACAAAAGCGCCAAAATCAGCCCGCTTTTCTATGGAGTATGGAAGTCCAGTTCGACTAGATTTGGCATTCAGGGAAGGAAATTCCCCTTCGGGTCGCCTAAATTCGTTCAGACGCCCTGGAAGTCGAGTTTGATGATATGATGCCAGTGAAGGAAGGGAAGTTCACAAAAGCTAGACTGGTCACGGTAAGACCATTCTTTTGATAGTCTTTGACTCTCAGGTTATATATATATATATATATATTTGTGTGTGTGTTCCTTTTTTGTGTGTTCAGGTTCCTTCGTTCCATGAATATACTTCGATAGAACCACCCCATACGCCTCCCCATACGCCTCCTGTGGAGGCGGCAATTGGAAGCAAAACATCCACCGGACGGCCGATGTGATCGCAGGTCGTCTCCGCGCCGCCGCCGCCCTTTCTGAAAAATCGCTTCGAAATCTCCCGCGGCCGTGGCGGAGTCTTAGTTCCGCCGTGAACGCCAGATGGTTGGCCACGAGATGGTTGAGGGGTCAGTCGTTTTGGAGAAAGAAAGATCTGAAGACCCACGGAATCAAGATGAATATCCAGAAACCCCGTGGATAGAGGACGACCTGGGCGCAACCAGACTGAAGTTCCAAACCGCCGGAAGTTCCCCTGACGGCTCAGCGAAGCCTTGCCTTTGGTCAAGGACTCCGAAGAAGCCGATGTCGGGACGATGTTCAAACTAACATCGTCCATGTTTTAACACGTGTGAAGGTCAAATACCTTCATCTCGCCAAACGGCATGCCTTGTTCGTCTGTGCGCTCGACGAAGAAAGCCCTGAGCAGGCTCGTTCTAGTCGGCGCATGCTGCGAGTCGATTCCGTCGGAAGAGAGGACCGGTGAAGCACCATGGCGTGCTTCGGCCCAGTCGACGTGAAAATGTTCTCCGGACTGAAGGGTGGCATTCTGGTGCGTCTCAGGACGCCTGAAAGAGAAGCAAAAAAAAGAATGCGTGAAAGAACCGACTCAAAGGGTACCAGTAGTGGGTTTAGGATGGTTTAGGGCGGTTCATGTTCCATGTTTTCGATCAAGTCCGAAGAACTTCGAAGTTGGCTCACCAAAAAGCCAGCCTGCATTCAGTTGAATTGCCCTCAGTTGGAGCCTTTCGAAATCACTCCTCGTGCCATCCTCCCGTTCACCGTCAGTTTACTGAATCCCATGTCAGGGTTTGCCTGGCGCCCTGGAGACACGCGGGGGCCAGCTGTGTCTCTCAGAGCTCTACTTGTCGCACAGCAGTCCGCAAGAGGGAATCTAAATGGTCAATGTCTCTATCCCACACAGTAGTTTCACTGCTTCTTTTCTCGCCCATCTGCTTCACTGAAATCTGCTGAGAAGAAAGTAGCTGCAAAACATCTCGATGAGAGTTGTCCTGGCCCAAGTCATGGAACAACGAAGCACTGCCAGCCCAGCTGATGGTTCACTGCCCTCTTATCCTCTTCCTCCCCTACACCTCGCGGTTGACCTGTATTGGTTGACCCACTCAGCACTCCTTCCTGTCCAACTGACCATTCTCTTCTTACTTTTGTCTGGACCGTTGGCTGGCTGCGTCACCGGGTCTATCCCACCACATCGGAGAGAGAACAATCGGGACGGCCCTGGTGGCCCTGGGCGGTGGGTCGGCACTACACGTCGTTCGTCGTCCACCACGAAGAAGCTCAGGACCTGGGGCCCTAAAAGGTCAACCTACCAGGTATAGTTTAGGCATTCCTTCAATGGTCCTGCCCGTTCTGCTCTGTCCGGTACCCCACATGATCATGTCACCTGGGGTTCAAATCTCTCACCTCTAAATCCATCCAAACTCCCGGCCAGTTCGAAAGGGGACAAAAAAAAGGCAGAACCCAGCAACATCCGGTGACCCAATCTCCCAAAAAATCGTTTCCAAAGTACGCTGCTCTCAAAAGATCTGCCTAACAGCGATGTGGGACCTGCTATCCACCTTCTTCGTCCTTTTCTGCCTATTCGGAGCCAAAAAAGCGAACAAACCATATACACAAACCCGAAAACAAACCCGAAAACAAAGAAAAAAAATCACACCTTCCGCCCCTTCCTCCTTCCGCCCCTTCCTGGTTTTTTGGTCTCCCTTCGGGCTGTCCTTGTTGGCCTCCTTGGCGAAGTGCCAGGCCTTGCGCCCACTGGAGCTCATGACCTCGGGATCCGCCCCCGAGGCCAGCAGCAAGAGCCTGAGATCTCGCGCTCGCGTCCGCGCTCGCGTCCGCGCTCGCGTCGCGCGCTCCGAGGCTGGCTGCGGTCCTCCGTTAGACCGTGAGTGAGTGAGTGTGTGGAAGGGGCTGGTGAGAATGAGGACCCCAGATGCCAACCAGTCAGATGCCAAACCAGTGGTTTGCTTCGTCCCATCGGAAAACAAAAATCCGTCGTAAGCCGCCCGGTTCCGGCTCCGGACCAGGTGGCACGAGTTCAAGGAACGAAGTCGTTTACTTCAGTATGGGTTGTTACCTTCTCAGGATCCGGACCCAAAAACAAGGGTCCAAGGGTTTGGTTCGGGTACCGAATTGTCTGGTTCACAGCAGCAGGGTCTGTTCTCCCCCAAAAAAGGAGAGTCTGGGACTCGGATCCGGTCAAAGAAATGGACGTCCGATGAAGGATGTCGACCTCGACGAAGGCATCAGGATTGGCTCCGACTCGTGAGGCAGCAGTTGATGGTGGCTCCGACTCGTTGGCGTCGTTCGTCCCCATTCGTTCGTCCCAGTGCCATTCGATCCCCCAAAGCCTTAAGAATAACCTATACCCATATTCCTACACTTCGCCGGGGTCATGTAGAACACTGTCTTTCCTTTCCCTAGACCATTAAACAAATGGGAACGACCTGGTTTTTGTGTAAAATCCTTAGTTGATTCGGGATGACCAGCCTATTAAATTATTATTGCAAGCCTAGGGCTTTACTTCCTTCGGGGGCACGCTCGTTCCAACGCACGGCAACAGGAGAGCCGAAGAGCGAGGCGGCGGACGCGGACGTGCGGGACGCGCGGGACGCGGGCGCAGGATCGCTCGTTCCTGTCCTCCGTCCCAGTAGCAGGACCTTCAAGTCTCCGGTCTTCGCAGCCAGGTGAATCGGATAGATCGTCTCCCTCCGCAACCACGCGGTGCACGGGTCCCGCACCGGGTCGTTCACATCCTGGACCAACGGTCGAGGCGGGCGACTGAAGCGACCGGTGGAGAGAACCAACGGCGCTCCGCCGCGTGGCGTTAGGACCTCTACAAGAACCAAGCCTGTGAGCCTATTGAGCCTCCCGTCCTTGAAACCATGCTGCTTCAAAAAATCATCCACACATCTCTGCCGGTAGCTGCTTGAGCGTTCGCGTCCAGTCATTGTGGGACTCACATCCTCCGAGCAGCCACTTTGAAAGGATGAATGGCGCTCCACGAATGCCAAGGTGCTCATGGGGCGGGTCAGGACGTCCCGCGTGGCGGACCGTCAGGTGGACCAGGACTGCGGATCAGATGGACCACGGGTGAGAAACACTGCTCATGTGTTCCATGCGTGTCTTCCATGTTGCCTAACCTTCTTCAGGTTCAGGTTAACAGGCTTGATGGGTGTTTGATCATGTGTTCATGCGACACAAACTCGCCATTGTGGCGACTCCCTGTCCCAAGCTTCGCCCGGGGTCCCTGGAGCCAAAGGGCGCCGCAGCCTACAAGCTCTCGTAAGCACCTAAAGATATCTCTGCATCCCACCGCGTTCTTCCTGCGAAGAAGTTCCGCCTGCCTCTCACGACCCCCCCTCACCCGCCCCCCTGTCTGCGACTGGCATGAGGCTTTCAGGACCAGGTTTTGACTCAGGTCAGACTGGACCTGCGGGGTCATGTACCATCCATGTACCGGCCTGCTGGCTCAGCCGGTGGTGGCCAACCCAGTTGGTCAATCGGAGAAAACCACGAGGTCCGTCTCAGGCCGTAAAGAGGTCATCTTCCAGCACGGTACCCACCTGGCTGGTGTCGCCCCAAACCCACTACTACTTCGGGATCTCCAGAGCAGGACATCCCCGTTTTCAGGTCGACAGGACCGGCGCGCGCCTTGGCGGTCCCGCCTCCCTCCGGGAGTATTGATCATCCCCCTCGATCCGTGGAACGGACGGTTCCTTCCCTCCTTCCCCCGCCTGGTAGGGCGCTTCGGACCGCGAGTTCCACTCCTGTCACGGAACGAGACACGAGACACGAAGAACGACGAGTCCTGTCGGTCCAGTCGCCCCGGGCACCCACAACCATCAGAAGCTTCCGGACCCACAAAGGAACATGGAGACCACGCCCCCAACCCATCGAGTTCGAGACCACCACGGCAACGACGTTTCTCGACCCTCCCCAAGTGGGGAAGAGAGGACCTCGATGCACCGGCCCCCCCCATCCGACGTGCGACGGCGCCGTGCCGGATGGGTCACTCCGGGCGCGAGAGGCGCGAGAGGCGAGAGAAAACCCTTTCGAAGTCAAGTCGACCATTGTTTAAAATGGGAACGATCTGGTTTTGTAGTGTACAACCCTTAGTAAAACAATGGTGCTTCGGGATGACCCAGCTAGTAAAACAATGGTGCTTCCACTGCTAGGGTATAGGTCTCCGGCTAATCCACAGCTCACATCGAACCCAAACATGACCCGTGTTATCGGAAAAGACCCTCGTTTGGGTGGTTGGTCTAAAATGGAGTCACTTAGGGACTATACGTGGCTGTGGCCTAAAGACTGTTCCAGGAACTAAGCTTAGATCATCCAATTCTTTGGTCTTTTCAGTGGCAGAAAACACACAAATCGAACAATTTTTACAGGCCTCTTTGAGTGCACAAGGCCCTATGCAAAAGCGCGTTGAAAAATTGAGGTCAACCTTGGCAACAGGCACACGTTGGTCGACAATGTGTCAGAAAAAGGTCTCCAGTCGAAGCAAAGGACTGGTGTTGTTGCACGAACTTGGTATGCGAAAGACCAGTTCAAGCGCCTATACCTCTCTCATGTGCCGCACACTGGTCAAACGGCGGGACTGGGGGCTCTGGTCGCCGCCCCCGGGAGAGCCAGGCTGTACTCTCGAGACGCTCCTCGATCAAACCGCCTTTGTTGACTCTCTCCACCATCAGCAAACTCCTGAGATCAGTCCATGAGCGACCAACGACCAACGACCGTAGGTTGACCATGTGGCAAGAAATGCCCAGAAACGCCGCCTGCGCGTGAAACGCCTCGCGGGGCACCAAGCTTGGAGGAGCTTTCATCCGTGAAGATCTCCCTGAATCTTCTATGTCAAGCGGGTCTCCTATAACAAAGGCTAGCTGCTAATTTCGACTGGCCCGAAAAATATTAAGGAAATGAGCACTTTTTCTTCTTCTCTCACAATTCTGCTCCAGCGCTAGCAGCAGCTGTCTGCACCTGGCAGAAACGAATGATAGGTGAGAGAAGGGGCTGACGATCAATAATAAGTGCTTCTTCACCGATTTCATCTGCCCTGAGTTGACGCCTGCCTGGTCTAGGAACCTTCACCAAAGCAGCCGGCAGCCGAGAAGCCGCTGCAGCCTGACCAAGGATCAGACTGGTAAACTGCTGCCACTTCCCGTTGGTGTTCTTGGGACTGGTCTGCTGACAGGCTGAGAGCTGTGTGGTTCCATCTTGTCATAATGTGAAGAGAGGCCCAGTCCCAAAAAAGTCTCGACTACTCTAGACGGATGTGCAGTGTACGCACCCTTCTCAAAATCAAAAGCCGGCCCTGGCATAGACTGATCTGAACATAGAGTTCTGCGACAGGCGCTGCCCTTTAGGAACTTCCTTTGACCCTTCAGTCCATCCTTCGAAGGAGCAGCTACAATGAAGCCTGATGCACCTTCGCGCAAGGGGATGAGCCCACTGCCAGATGGCTGCAGAGCGGTGGCGTGAAGTACTGCTTTGCTCCGGCGAAATCAACTCACAACACCACGTGGGTTTTTCAGACTCGTGTGAGTGGCTTTGAGGAAAGACTTCTGATCAACTTGCGTTGTGCAACAGCACCGCCAACACAATTACTCTCCGTAAATGTCTTATTAGAATAACCTTTGGGGGGCAGTGTCTCACCTCAGACAAAACAGACTTCACGCACGGCCCACCAAAACTCAACACTAAGTGGGGGAACGGAAGCTTCCTCTCCTCAACCGCCAAAACCTCTGGGAAAAAGCATAGGCAGCTCTGGCAAACCTTCGCCCGCACAGCCTTCATCATGGAAGCCTCGTGCTGCATGTCTCCGTCCTGGATTCTATGCTTGTACACCTTCACGACGCATTTTCTTCCCTGGTGATTGTCACTCAGCAGCACAGCTCCGTAGGAACCTTCTCCGACGTACAAGCATGAGCCATCTTGTGTTTTTGGATCTGTATGGCATCGGAAGGCACCAATCCGCACGTCCTCCTGCTGCTCCTGCTTGATGGTATTCTCCGACTGGCTACTACTGAAAGGTTCCAACCTTTGTCCCTTGCACTCAGGAAGGAGGTGCTGTCTGAACTTCACCCCCTGAACTCGCAATTGCACCCTCTGCGCCTCAAACTCTGCAGCGCACTTGGCTCTGTAAGCCTCTTTCTCACTCGGGGGTAGGTCCCGCCATTTTTGCCCCAAGCGCTTCATTTCCTGCGCGTGCGCATCCTTGCTCGCCCCCTTGTGAACATTGCAATGATCCTTCATGAACAAAGCAAAGGGGCGGCAAGCTTTGGGCGCAAGGCCATCTCCAATCGCGGCTCTTCGCTCAGATACCCTACTCCTTCTCTTAGTCTTGAGTTTCTTGCGGGCAATAAGGTCCTTCGGAGATCTCTTGCCTCGTACACGGAATGGCGGAGGAAGCGCCATTCCAAAGATTGGTTGAATTGAAGCCAATGAACCACCTTGAGCCGAACAAGCCCCTGAGCCAGCTAATTATCATCATGTCCACCTTACAAACTTGCGTTAAAGCTTCACGTCGTCATACCTTTGGGCGCCTTTTGGCGCCTTTCGATTCAATGGCCAGCAAATTGTGGTATTTCAAAGGCGCAAGCAAGACTTTGAAAGGTTATCTTCTCGTGACAATTGAATTGATTTGTTTTCAGTGGTTCGTTGCCCGCGACAAACAGGTATTGGATCCAAGCTTCCGCGCATTGACTGACAGTAAGGGCATGCAGCGCATCGTCTGCCGCAACTAGCTGGAGACCTGCAGGCGTAATTCTCAAAATCGCAGAGCCTCTCTTCTCTGCAGTTTCCGTGCTCTAAAAGTCTAAAAGTTAGAAATTCACATACCTGAGACGTATGCTACTGTTCAGTGAGGCTTCGAAGATTCAAGTGAGCACTTTAACTCAATCAGACAGCAAGCGGCCAGCCCACCAACCCCAGTCTTTTCATGTGTTGGGTCACAACCAGCTGCTGCTTGGTCTGAGGCAAGGCCTCCCACAGGAACAATGGACAAATCCAAAATCTCAACCAGTTAGCCAGAGGCCACACAAACGACAAGCTCAATCTTGAGTCCACCTTTCAGAGCCCACGCACTACCCTTCAATTGCCTGCAGGAAGCAATTCCGCTGGGAAAGGTAACTTTGTGATTTCAAAGGACCACAGCCACTAGCCAAAACAGTGGGTTGCAAGCGACAAAGAAAACAGGAATTGATCGTACAGTACCAGGCTAACCCTTGGGTACATGTCTGCCATCCTTGACTACAAAAACCAAAGAGGTTGGAGCAAGGAAAGGTCACGGCTGGGTGCCCTGAAGAAGCCCGAGGAAGGAACAATGAGGCACCTCCATGGAGAGGATCTGTGGGCCGCACTTCCAACCTCACCCTGCCAAGGATAGTGAGCAAAGTCGCAAAATTGGCCAGTACCGGCCAGGAAGCTGTAAGAAACAACACAAGGTCCTCAAACAAGACACACAAGGCAAACCTTTCCGACCCCACCTACTACCTTTCATTTGATAGGTTGAAGCTATTCCGCTGGGAAGGGTAGGCTTGGTGATTTCAAAGGTACATAATAACCAGTGGCCTCCAAGCTCAAGCATGTGCTTTGCACTGCCTGGCCAACCCTTGAACACATGCCCACCACCTTTTACTGCATCAACAGTTATTCCTTGCGCAAGGAAAGGTGACGCACTGTACCCTTTGAGAAACCTTCTGCAAGGTCAAAAGGTGCCTTGATGGTGAGGATCTATGAGCCCAGCCAATCTCGGCCTGAACAGGATGCTCACAAAACACTAACGGCTAATTTTAGTTATCCGACCCAAAGCCCAGTGGCCAAAAACCAGCCACATGCTTGGAAGGGTCCGGGCCATAACCCTTCAGTTGCTAAAATCTGAATAGTCCAGCAGTGAAGGGCAAAGTGCTTGACTTTAAGGGTCTACATGAAGCGGTGCGTTAAGGCCTTGCAGCTGACATCTAAATCTCCTCCTAAAGGAACGAAAGCGGCAATGGTGCCTGAAACGGGAGCCGATGAGCCAGGAAGCCTCTTCATTTGCCGCCGAGGGCACGGCCAACTTTGGGGAGAGGAGACGGGTCTTCCTCGCCCATCCAATTGCCTGAGAATGGCTGCCCCCCATTGTGGCTGCAAAGCCAAGGGGCGGAAACAAACTCACACTGGCATCCCAAATTAGCCTAGCAACTCCTTTTGAGAAAGCAAAAGTTCCTGAGCGCAAGTCGTGGCTAGGGAAACCCATGACTGACAGGAAGCCATTTGCTGAATCTCAACGATAAGCGCAAACCGGGAGTCTTCAAGACGTGGATGCACTTGCACGCATTCACGACGCAAACGTCAGATGTGACCTCAGCCTGGAGAATTTGCATCTTCACGCACTTGGGATTTGGCAAACCTTTCAACTGCTCCTGGACGGCTTCCAGAGCGTCTGCAGGGCTTTGGCCGCACCATCGCCCAAAGACCCTGCTGTACGTTCCATTCCTGACATAAAACCCGAGTGCGCCATTGAAGCCGCAAAAGTTTTAGTCAGTGAAGTCTATTATAGTGCACGGGCCACTCACAAACCCCAGGACACGAACCTATACTATACTATAAACTGCATCTGCGAATCCAATGCGGGCTGCACTCGTAGCAAGGGTTGGCCAAACGATCAATGGCCGCAAGTGCCTGCCGAAAGTGGGGAGCCATCAGCCTGCTGGAGTTGCACTTCACGAGATAGAGCCTCGGTGGTCAATTACTTGGCTATTGCTTCCCTGTCTTGAAAATGATGTTGTTGAAATTCCATTCAGGTTGCGACAAGGCACATATCCACGTCGACAATCCAATCAGCTTTGCCCTGGCACACGAACATAATGTCGAGGCTGCCATCCAAAAATTGGCCAGCCATGGCCAGAACATCAGCCATCCGAAGCTTCGCCAGGGCACGGTTCGGCCGGACCTTCTGCCCCCTTTTGGAAATAACTCGGAACGGCAGGAAAGCTTTTCGCTGGGCAACCCCATGGGTGACTTCGAAGAACTTTTGAACGAGCGGAAGCAAAGCCAAGGGCCGACGAGCCGACAACTCATCCACCAAGAACTCACCAAATTGCACAGAGCGAAGGTACGTTGCAATCATAATTAAAGCTAACTGCTCCCTGGCTTCCAATTTCTGAACTTTGGCACTGGCCACCAGAATCTTCAAACAGGCCGTCAGCTTGTCACCACCTCAGTTAAGGATGCCCCAAAGCAGGTCCGCCCTAGCACCAAGCCAGAGTTTTTTTCGAAGCTGACAGACCTGTTGCCTGGCATGGGCGCGGTGATTCATCTGGTTTGTGGCACAGGTAGAAACAAACAGCCGATGCGCTCACAGGTTGCAACGTATGGTCGTATCAAGTTGTTGCAGGTTGTTGCCTGAAAACTATCACACAGGCATCCACCAAGTCACGGCTCTTCACCACAGAGTGGGCAAAGCTGCCTCTGCAACTGTCCAGAAAAGACAGCCTGGACTCCCCCATCCTCAGAAAGGGATTCTCAGCGTGCAAGATCTGCAGCATCAGGTTGTCTGGGTCCTGCGGAGCTTGGAGTGCCAATATGGGATCTGATTCCTGATGATGTTCTTGTCTGATCAAACAAGGCAGACGACCAGCTCACCTTTCAATAGCACTAGAGAACCTTTCATGGGAAAGTAAGTGTAACACATAGTGGTGAAGGCTCAACAGAACGCACTGAAAGGTTTCACACACCTTGTCCAGTGGTGGGATGCGACAGCCGATTCTATAGGCCATGTAAGCTGCCAGGGCTGCCTCACTTCGATTGAACGCTGCACGCTGCTGAAACACCACTGACCCACTACCACTCTCATCAGTGCAGCTGGAAGACTGGAGCTACTGTGTCCAAATCATAGTCTCGAAACATGAAGTTTGCCACAGAGAGTATATAGCTTGTTGTCGTTGGAATCCATGCAATCCCTGGCAGCCTGGGCTGCAGGCTGGCCAGGCCCTATATGGCACAAACTCTAGAGTCACTACTTGACCAGTAAGGACTACTACCACCAAGCAACGACCCAAGCGCATCTGGCCAAACGCCCCCAAGAATTGGTCGCCTGCCCACCTTTGCAGGCGCTCACCCTTTCGTCTGCTGCCAGCCTTGCACTGATCGCAGGTGGAGGCATCGCTGGCCTGGCAAAAGCATGCGATTCATGACGGTGAAGTCAACATAGTAAAAACAATGACAGCTGCCCTGAGACCTCTCTCAGACCTTTCAGTGGCAACGCAGTACCTTTGCAAGCAAATTGAGACCTTTGGAAGCAGTCGTCGGCTACAAAACACCTTTCAAATGCACGAAACCTTTCAAGTGCTTGTTTTCACCTTTCAATGACACGAAAACATTGAGGTTACTGGTTTTTACGAACCAGTGGCGTATTGTAGGGGGGGAATGCCCTTGTGAATACGGGCCCAGTTTTTGCAAACCAGGAGTGTATTCTCAGTTATCTTTTCCAAGGCAATACTGAAACTGAGGCAAAGCATATTCAGTGGACAATTTCCCCTCGCAATACGGTCTTGGTTTTTAAAAACCACTGGGCGTATTTGGAGGGGGGCGCTTTTTGGAGCCGCTGAGCTACTGGAGCCACTTAGGCTGCTTTGCTAGCAACTTCCGATTCCTGTACGAAACAAGACTGACCCCACTTCAAGTCTTCAGGCCAAAGGCTACTAAGCCTCTTGATTTCCGCAGAACGCGAATTGATCGAAGGAATGCCCAAAATTCAGGCCAGCTTGCCAGCTTCTTGCAAACCTTCTTTTTGCAAGCAAATGGTCTCGCAGCCACAAAGGGTTCACCGAACACTGCCAGTTGCCAGCGCGATCCAGAGGTCTTGGCGCAGGCTTTGAACGCAGAAACCACCAAGTTACACCTTGGAGAGATTTTACCAGTGGCCGGTGGATGCGTTTGGGGGTGTGCTAGTTCCTTAATTTTAAGCGTAGCCATAGGAGGGAGTTGAAAAGAGAAGAAACTACAAGCTTCACCAGATAACTTCCCAAGCTTCCTGGCCACTTCACCAGATAACTCCACTGCAAGAGCCCTGGTTCGTGCTGCTGAGCTGATAGGAACGCCTCCGGCTTCCACTCTCGCCGGTCAGGCTTCTCAAAAGCCTCTCTGCCCACGAGACATTTTCCCAAGCCATAGCATAGCAAAAGCGCAGCAGCCTGAGGCTACCAAAGTTGGCATTGGAAACACGCAACCAAAAAACTCAAGTGTTAACTCCTTGTTTTTTTGGGTGATTTATACTGGCCTGATGTCTGAGATCCTGTACACGATGGCAAATTCGCTATACATATCATTAATGACTGTTGAAATTCCATCAACTCAACAGCCTTTCAGCCGTTCAAAGCCACTGCTTAATTATGCTTGTCTTTGGTCTTGGCGCCAGAAAACTACCCCCGCCGAGTGTTCACAAGACATTTCTTCCACTTTGGTCTCCTTTCACCCTTCAGGCCCTTGACCTTCTGCACTCTGACTCTGAGCCTCCCAGAATTTTGGTTTCTGGCCACCTTGCTCCATGTCGGTGGCTGCATTCCAAAGCGTTTGCGCAAGTGCTCTTCTAAACGCTTCGCAGCCTCAAGAGCCAAAGGAGCCGAAGGAGCCGAAGCAGCTACCGCTGCAGGAAGGCTCTGATGGGCTGCAGGCAGCTCCCAATTGACAAGAAGCAAAGCAATCACCATGACAATGCCAACCACCTGGCAGTGCATAGTGTTACCGCCCATGTTCTCAAGATCCGTCGCTGAGATGCAACTTGGGAAAGTCATCTTGTGGAGTGGGAATGCGTGCAGCAGAAGAGCCTCGTGCGGCAGCAGGGCTCGACCCTCACTGCCCAGGATCAGGTGGGATCCGGGAGTAATGGTAGGCACCTTTCCATCAGTGCGCTCTCTGTTGCGGCCCAAACTTTGAGACAAATCGCACACAAACTGGTCAGCTTGCCCAACTGTCGTGCGCAACTTGTCCCAAACGTCTCTCTCCCGGGGTAAATGCAAAAACAAATCAGCAGCCGAGCAGCCCCTGAAACTAAAAGCTGACGGAGCCGCGTGGCAATGTTTGGCCTTCCATTCATCATCCAGCTCCTTCCATTTCATGTGGGGTGACCTGGTTGGAAACCCCAGTGTTGCTGCCTGAGACCATCGCGCCCTCCTGAATTGTTGGTGCTGCGACACAAGCGGGTGGTCACTTGGTAAGAGCCGCTGAGCCAAAGGAGCAGGTTCATTTGCCTGCCCCAGCTCAGTCCAAATGTGCTGGAGAATGTGCCTGGAGGCTCCTGCAGGGAAAGCGGCCACATCTGTTCGCAGCCCGATGAAATAGAAACGTGGCCGGAGAAGGGGCTCCCCCAAACTCGAAGGGTCCATTAATTGAACCGCTACGATGTAGCCCAAGTCCTGCAACATAGATTGTACCTTCTCCATGCACCGTTGGATGCCTTTGACGTTCTCGAGGACAAAGCATGGAGGCCGTAGCTTGCCGATGCGTCGAAGAACTGCCTTGAAAATCTCAGCCTCCTTTTCCTCAAGAAGCTTGGTCTTGTTGTGAAGCATGGAAAATGGTTTGCAGGAAAACCCAGCCACATACAAATGCACAAAGGGCACTGCGCCAGCAGAGCTGACAATCACGTCGTCCATGAAAGCTTCCTCAGGCAAGCAATTCGCTTCAATCATCGTCCTGGGCGCCGGATTGATCTCGCAGCTGAAAACATGTTTGTGCAGCAGGCCCATAGAACGGAGGGCATGCACTGGAGCTTCCAAGCCACTACAATCTGTTCCAACCCGCAAAGCTGATGAGCCATTGGAGCCGTTGATGAGAAAGTTCGGCCACGCAACCTTCTCATTACAAGCTTCTGCAGCTGCGCGGATCCGCGACAAAGTCTGGGGCCCCCATGAGTCTAGCCAATGAGTTAGGAAACTAGGCAAAAGGATTGGAGACGTCATTTTGAGCAAAATGCCTAAGCAAGCAAACTCACTCTCACAGATGGTCCAACGCGTGCTGAACTTCAGTGTCAGCCACTTAACATTTGCCCTGTCCCTTGATGCTTCAAGCGGCAACATGATCTGAGCTTTGCGTGTCCATGTCTGTCAGCTGGTCCACGACAATGATGTCGGCTGCCGCAACTTGGAGAAAGGAAAGCAGAGTGCATCCACGGGGCAGCTCCAAGTTGCGAGCTCTTGGCAAATACATCCTGAAAAGAGGTAGCACATTCGTGTTTTTTGCTCCAAGTTGGTAGCTCTGCGCCTCCAGCGCCAAAGCCTGCAAGCCGAGGAGCCGTGGGAGCATAGGGTGCCTGTTTCTGCCGTCGCCGCTCTGCCACTGCAGCATGTCCTTGTTAGATTCCCAGAAAACTCTACCCGAAAGAACATTAAAATGTCGTAATACACAACTTTAATCCATACAAGCAACTGTGTGCCAGCGAGTTGGCACATTCTGCGCTGCAGGCAGCCGTGCTTGAAGCTCCTTGGCCTCATCCACCACCCAGGCATCCGGCAAGGCCATGTCTCAGATGCATCATTCTCATTCTCCAGTGAACAAACAACTGACTACTATCATGCTTCAACCCAAGTCTAGCTGCGCATGAAGGAACGCCAGCCAATGAAATGTGAAGAGACAAGTTAATCAAACTTTTGACCGAGAAACGGGCGCAAACACTGACCAAATCCGGGTGGTTCCGGGAGCCGCTGGGGTAAAATGAGCTCACCACCGGGTCGAAGCCACAGAAAGCCCAGGTGAAATTCTCAGTAGTGTTGTACCTCTGCTGAAACCATGAGGGCACAGCCGATGGGTGGCAGGTAAAGCGGCAAAACTCTTCTCTGGTGAACATCAGCGCGCCAGTCTCAAATGAAGACATCCCAGCCTTAACGCTTTGAGCGATTTCCTGCCGCGCCCTCCTGGCTGCATCGCTCTGAGCAAGTTGGGATTCAGCACTGGAAGCTGGAGCCGCTGAAGCCGATGAAGCCGAAACCAACGCATCATTGCCTGCTCCAGCACCATTGCCACCATGGCCTGCTCCACTGCCACCATCGTCTGCTCCACCACCATTGCCACCATTGCCTGCGCTGTCGTCAGCAGGTGGGCCCATCTCTTGTGGTGGTCCCTGCGCCGCTGCCATCTCGTCTGAGGACGAGGAAGTTGAAGACTCTGGCTCAGGGCGACCCCCAACGACACGGCGCAAAGCACCAAACATTCAGCAGCCAAACAGCAAAAAGCCAAGAGCCGCTGAGCCGAAGTGCCCTGAGAAACACAGAGCATTTGTGCGATGGACCGCTCTAATACTATTGCGTTTCCAGCTTAAACAGTTGGATGTCGGTGGACCCTGCCCGACAAACTCGACACTTGAAGTGTCCCGTCGCCCTGCCTTCTCAAAGCCAGGGGAGCAGTGACAGCAGGTGAAGCGCCAAACGCCTGGGCCTGATGGAACAGCGGAGGTTATCGTTTTTTGGGTGTGTGGGCTTGGAATAATCTCTGGGGCTACCACATTCAAAGAACAGGGGTGCTAAGCAAGGAGCCACACACACACTCTCTTAAACATCTAGTGCGGCGCTGCCTCTGCTGAAGGAAAAGACAACGATGACAGCGGCGAAGCCTGCAAGTGACATTGGTACCACACAAACACCCCCAAGCCAGTGTTTCAATCCAAGACTGAAACAATCTGAATCAAGCTATTCAACATACCTGGCCCAATGTCTTCATGTCTTCACCCACACGACCAAATGCGGAATGATAGATGGGCTGCCTTCTGACCGCAGTGAAATAG